CTTCTGACAGCTTTATGGGACTCGTCCAGCTGGTGAGCAATCAGCCCCTTGATTACTCACCAACCACAATCAGCCCCAATTAGTCCTGGCCGGAGAGCCCGTCGAGACCTGGCACATCCAGCAGAGGGAGCCATCGCCGCGTGATGTAGACTCCATCTGTCACCAGGCCTTGACAAGTCTCCCCCTGGTGGCTAACCTGCTGTACGCCACAACTAATACTTAAATAATTAAGTGACAATGGGTGTTGTAGGCTCGAGAAGAAGTCGGCAAACCGTGCCAATATATCCTCCAAACACTGGCTTCGAGGGCATTATCACTTTTATATTACGGGTTACCAACATATTCAAATAATGATTGACATATTTTCATTAAAAACGTTATTTTGATTAATTTATTCATACTATTTCATCCACAAGATATATTCCCGACACAAATCTAGGGTTGCTACCCAAGCCAGCTGGTTGTTCGTTCTATCGGTTCGGTTGCCAGAGACGCGACCCAGTCGTTCAGTCTTTTTGTTCTGTATCTATGGACACGACCCAGTCGTTTGTTCTAAATGTTCCATTGCCATACTGGCTGGTAACGTTCGTATCCCTTGCTTGCTAGCTAGCCAACTACGGCTAACTTACAGTCATTTCAAACAGTGCAGCCAGAATAACAACAGTAGCTGCATTTGCATTTGTTTAAGCTGCTTTCTAGTGACATTTATTTGGATGCACCCATAACAATAAATAATGGCCTTGCATTTCAGCAAACACTTTCTTAAAGGGTTGTACATTTGAGAAGATAATAACGGAACACTAAATTAAGTAATTAAACCAAGGTTGTTGATTAGAAAAGGATAATCTCATGTCACTTTCTCTACAGCTCTTCTCTGAATGATGCTTAACTGAGCTATGTGTCAATGGAGAAAATCAGTGCAGCATGCTTCCACTTTATTACATTACAGTATGATAATGACCCTGCTAAAACAGGCCCTTTCTGGTTCATATTTGAAGTCTATTGAACAAGTGGCAGTGGCAGGCACAGATAGCTTATCTGAAGCCACTGTGAGGATCTAATATCAATGGTCTGATGCTCTAGTCATAAACCTAAGAATGGCATCATCATCCTGCTTGTCTCCTAGACATGACAAGCAAGCAGCAGATACATTTATACATTTATGATTGTTGCGCTTTCCCAGGATTACATTGGTCGCTGCGTTGCCAAGACAACAGCAATTAGCAGGGACTGGGTTACCAGGCAGACAGTGGCTATAACACTCTATACACCTCGTAGCCATAGCAACCAAGGTCAGGCCAACAGCAGAGCGCTCATCTGCTGGCTCCTTAGCTGTGCTACAGAAGACACATATTCCACATGAGGCCTTTGCCCGATCATACAGTGTGACTAAACATACAGCAAATTAACACGAGGCGTCTGACTGAGTCAATTCATTGATAACAAAAAAAGTATTTTTATGGACATTAATGTTCATGCGTTTGTAAAAGACCACCTTTATTTCATGTCTGCCAGTAAGACCAAAAATACCTACAGTACATTAGAAGAGATCATCTCCACCTATTGTTCATACATTACTGTGACCCTTTCTTGCAAATGAGTAAATCAATTTCCTCTAAGGTGAACAAACTTTATTTATGGGGATCATTTACCAAATTTTCATTGAAAGATACAGTACATCAGCATCAGTGAAGTGAACTACAAGTCATAAGGGTGGGTTAACTTTCAATGCAAAGAAGTGACCTACCGTATGCTCCGTCACTCACTCACATGCTAGATTTCACACTTCTGTGAGACATAATGAGATCTACAAGATATTTAATTCATCCTACATCAGACAATATTACAAATTAATCAACTAACTGCTGGAACCCCTACCTAACCTCTCATCACCACCACCACCCCCTCCTATCCCCCATACCCATCACAGCAGCAGAATCCTCCCCTAGCTGTCCAGAAGGTGTTTGAATGTGTTCAATTAGCCTGTAACCAGAGGCAGGGTGAACACTTAATCCCACAGCACCTGCTGTATGTTCACAAGCTAGCCCCAGAGAGCTGGGCCTCTGATGGGGGCCGGCAGGATATCACTATGCTTGGCCCTTTGTCCAGCTGCCGTGGACCTACTCCCACTATCTGATTGGAGATTACTGCAGAGCAGGGTGACAGGCAACTAGCTGGGCAGCACTTTTATTACTCATACACTTATTCTAACATTTGGTTAATACAGTAAGATAAGTTTCAGGATTGATTTCTTACTGAGGAATGGACACAGATATGAAGGAAAAGTGCATATCAGCACCATGCTATAAGTCTCCCAAGTTTAGGAAGCGTTCAAAGCCTACTGTAGAACTCACCTAACTGCCAAATACACTATGAGTTATTCAGATGGGACACACATATGCCTAAATATTTCAGCCCTGACTCAAGCTGAAATGGATCAGGTTTTCAAGTCTTTGCAGTAATAGATTGTTTAGCTGGCATGACACTCCTTTGTCTTCTGTGATAAAGCCTGTTACCACACTTTGCTTTATTCCATTGAGTCCACAGATGGGTACAGAACACAGAGGCATTTAACCTTGAGATGCGCTTTAAAGAGAACAGTATAGAATACATCTGATGAATGTTAGTTGTCATGAATGTCATCATTTCACTTCACTGATAAATCTGTTGTAGAAGGGTAGCCTTCTGATTTACAGTCAGGTCCATAATTATTGGCACCTTTGATAAAGATCTAATATTTGATAAACATGACAGAAATGTGCAAAAAAGACTCAGCTAAATATTACAAATACTGAGCTATACTGAACAAAAATATAAATGCAACATGCAACAATTTCAACGAATTTACTGAGTTACAGTTCATATAAGGAAATCAGTCAATTGAAATAAATAAATTAGGCCCTAGTCTATGGATTTCACATGACTAGGCAGGGCCACAGCCATGGGAGCCAGGCCCACCCACTGGGGAACCAGGCCCAGCCAATCAGAATGAGTGTTTCCCCTTTATTACACGTGGTCTGCGGTTGTGAGGCCGGTTGGACGTACTGCCAAATTCTCTAAAACGACGTTGGAGGCGGCTTAATTGAATTAACATTACATTATCTGGCAACAGCTCTGGTGGACATTCCTGCAGTTAACATGCCAATTGCACGCTCCTTCAAAACTTGAGGCATCTGTGGCATTGTGTTGTATGACAAAACTGCACATTTTCGAGTGGCCTTTTATTGTCCCCAGCACAAGGTGTACCTGTGTAATGATCATGCTGTTTAATCAGCTTCTGTAGTTCAGTTGGTAGAGCATGGCGCTAGCAACGGCAGGGTTGTGGGTTCGTTTCCCACGGGGGGGGGGAGGGGGGGGGGGGGGGGTGAATGTATGCACTCACTAACTGTAAGTCGCTCTGGATGAGAGCGTCTGCTAAATGACTAAAATGTAAAATGTTGATATGTCACACCTGTCAGGTGGATGGATTATCTTGGCAAAGGAGAAATGCTCACTAACAGGCATGTAAAAAATGGAGATAAATAAGCTTTTTGTGCGTATGGAAAATTTCTGGGATCTTTTATTTCAGCTCATGAAACATGGGACCAACACTTTACATGTTGCATTGATATTTTTGTTCAGTATATATTGCATGCTCAAAATGTTTTGACAATTATATTATTTTCTACTAATACAATTGAGAAATAGATTTTGTTTAACAAGTAATAAATATAAAATCCACCAAGAAATGCTTAATTGGCCACAAACTCAACATTTTGCAACGCTCATCTCAGTCTCCAGACTTGAACCCCATTGAAAACCTGTGGTTTGAATTGAAGAGGGCAGTCCATAAGAGCAGGCGAAAGATATCAAGGTTTTGGAAAGATTCTGTATGGTTCTGGAACCCTCCCAACGTGTTCTCTAATCTCATAAAACATTTTAGAAAAAAGCTCAATGGGAGGGGGCTAGAGTATTGAAAACAGGGGTCAAAATTATTAACACATACTTTTTGAGATTTTTTTGTATTACTTGTTAAACACATCTTTCTCTGAGCAATTGTAAAGGTATAAAATATAATTTCCCAATTTTTCTGAGCATACAATATAGCTCAGTATTTGTATTAATTATTGAATAGTATTTTTTGCTCATCTTTATCAAGGGTGCCAATAATTATGGACCTGAATGTAGATAAATGAGCTAGATAAAATCATCCTAAAATTAGGGAAATGCCCTGCAAATTTAACTTTTCTATTTTTTCAAAACTGAGCTGATTGAACTGTGAAAACATGATCACCATAGCATTTTTTCTTCATTTCTTTGTCATTTTGGTTCCGTTTTGCTGCAGTATCATTATGTCTGAATTAAATGAGAAAGGAGATGTACACAGACATCTTCCCACTCACACCCCCACAGAAATCTCCAGTCGGATCACACTTCTCATTCCACTCCTCAGCCGAGAATGTTCACTCCACATTTCCTACAGGCAGAGGCTCATGCATTGGATAATCCCAAGAAAGCATCCACCTCAGAAAATATAGCTTTTTTTCAGTAATGCGAGCAAGATATCTTAGGTCAAATTCATACGTTGGGGAAATTACTAGCATGGATGTACACTCCAAATGGTACTGACAGCAACCTGAGATAAAGTAGCACAAAACTGTACCTACAAATTGAATTTGTTATTGCTAATAACATCTGCTGAACTGTAAATAACATTAAATGCTCATGTATTCCAAAATATGGCTACAGCTATGAGTCCATTACATCCTCATGAAAGTCTTCATACTTGACTTTTGTCTGTGGTGATAGGGTTAACAAGGAATCAGTACTTTCTAATAACATTAAAGGACATTTCCTGTAGAAATTACCCACATTAATGTATTTCATTTCTAATACAGTATGAGCTAGGTTAGCAACGTACAGTAGCTAACTTGTGTAAGTGGTATGAATGCAACCATTATCTGTTAAATGGGAAAAGAGGAAAATAAATGATATTGGTCTAAAGCGGCCTTAACATGAGTTAAAAGGGTCCACTAAGCAAAGTATATTACAGATAGCCTTTACTCTAGCAAAATATTCATAATAAAGAATCACACAGAATATTTAAATAATTTTATTGAAATATAAAACAAATGTAAAAAAGCTAAATAAAAATTCATAGAATAAAATGTGACCCAAAAAAAGACATGGTGATATGGAAAATAACATTTTGAGAGCCAGCCAAAATCATCTTTGGTCCCTGCAAGGAATCCATCCCCCATCCCCCATCCCCAAGCTCCCCATTTCAACTTCAAGTGGTTCCGCCCACAGTCCAGTCTTATTTTGTTCCTCACACTAGGGGGAGAAAAAAGGCAGAATGGCCGCTGTTTTCTCTACACAGTACAATGCCAAGTTCTCCAGGTCTAGTCCCCTGGTTTCCTCTCATACACAGACGTGACGCATGTGGAAATTCACCACATACTCAGCGTTGGTCCTCTGTACTGAGATGGCGAATGGCTCAAAGGGGTGGAATGTGAACGCCACCAGCCGCCGGACGGCATGGTTAATGGGCCGGCCCAGCAGGCCTGCCTGGATCTTGAACTTCAGCAAGCCAGAGTCCCGAGCATAAAACCTGCAGTTAACAAGAAAAACAGTCAGTCTTTTCAAATGCAAGTTTGAAATGAAAGAGGGTATCTAGGAACACACAGCTACATCCAAATGGTTGTCCTATAACGTTATTAGTTATTGTAGTTTCATTTCCAAACAATAAATGTAATACTTCCAATAACAAGAGAGCTTACAGTTACCATAAAATGTTGATTAAACACAGTCTCCAACAAGTCCCTGCCTTTTATAATGGCCGGGCATCATTTAAACATTTTAGCTAATAAATGGCAGACTCTAATAAACACCTGGTCAAGAAAAGTGTAATTATGCATTTTGCCAGTCTGCTCCGGTGGAATCTAACAGAATCTCCATCTCGCTCTGAATGATTGATGTCTCCAACAGATGTCGGCGCAGCTCCACGGTTGAAGCAAATAAACACCCCTTTATTAATTGAAGTTTTATGGTATGAATGATTGATTATTGATTCAATGTAATTTTTACCAGGGCACAACAAACATTTTTGTTTTACAGAAAAACGTTTTAGAAATCAGCATTATCTAGCCAATGTTACCTGATGGGGTGGTCTCCACATGTTTTGGGCCGCTCCATCACAGAAACCCACTTGTCGTCATAGCTGAAGAGAGAAAGATCGAGGTAGGGGCTGCTGCTGTAGGACTGAGCACTAATGGGCAGCTGTCCCAGCAGCCTCCTCACAGCCTCAGTGTGACCGCCATACTTTGCATTCACTATGGTGTCTTTGAACCTGACCAGGAGGGAGCATAAGCAGAAAGATTTCCCACTGTCAATGGAACAAAAAAAAGCAGTCATTTCTGAATGATTTAACTGAAAAATTCTAAGGAATACTGTGAAATTCTCAGAACTCTACTAAACACTGTTTTAATAGTCTAATTTATGTAAATTGGTTCAATTTATTGGCCTTTGGATTGTGCCACACTGTATGGATTTATTTTCATGTTAGCCCTGCGGTTAGCCTCCCCCCAGCCAACAATACCTTCTCTGGACCTGCCGTGCAAAGTTGTTGCTGGAGGCTGAGCAGGGGAACTGAACAGCTTCACTGTGGAGCGTGGCGTTCCGGAACAGGTCACAGAAGTTCTCAAACAGCTCCAGCAGTTTGTCAGAGGTGTTCTCAAAGACTGCCATCACCTCTGTGCTCACCATGTTGTACACTACAAAGAATGAGGGCTGAGAGAAGAGCAGACAGATATGAAGTTAGAAATAAAGAGGATATCCACTAATGCATCAACAGCAAACAATCATATGAAATAGGCCTATAGCTACAATGTTTGAGACAAAATCAATATTTCAAGTCAGATGTTTTCTGAGCAATAAGCTGCAATGAGCCTGAATCTACAGTGTTAATTCCCCAGTGTCCTTATTTAGAGTGCAGAAAAACAAAATCAAATGACAGGATTTAATCAACTGCAGATTGCAGATAGCACTTTCAGAAGTGCATACCTGTATGATTTGCACACCAACAAGGCCTTATTACAGAAACTTAGTTAGGGCAGAGGTGTACCTGAGAGGGGTCAGTGACTCGCAGGGTGACCACGTCCTCGCTGGTGTATTTGATGAAGAGGTGGTGCTCATCCAGCAGCTGCATCTTCCACATCCTCAGCTGTCTCAGCTGGTCAAAGAACTGGAAGAAGCGTCGCTTGGCGGTGGCGCTGCCGTCCTGCTCAGCCCGTCTCCACAGGTAGACCAGTAGTCTGTGCTTCAGGGAGTTGATGGTCTTCTCCTTGTAGAGGCGGGAGAAGCCTGGCTGGCCCTCGGCACGGGCCTCAGTGTACACCGCAGACAGAGTCAGGAGGTCGTCCTCGTAGCAGAACCGACCGATGGTCCGCACGTCCAGGAACGTCCCCTCTGATGTCACCTACAGGATGAAAGGAAAAGGTTTGTAAAAACGTTAATTCAATTTTATTCAATAAAGTATACATTTTATAATCTCACTTCCAGGTAAGCATAGGGTTCAGAGGACAATGCAAGCTGAGATATATACCTGAAAGACATGGATTGTCTGCTGCTGAACAGAAAGAACAGCCAGTATGTTACGGTAGAGGTAGAGTCCCTGGTTGTGCGAGAGGATGATCTTGTCACACTTGAAGGACCTGGTGTCACAAAGCCGGCCAGTGTGCAGGTCAATGATGTGCAGTGAGTAGTCCTCCAGAGGAGAGCGTGGGTTGGGAGTCACAGACTCGTTGTTGCGGTACACCTCAAAGAAGTGTGGAGAGGGCTCCTCTGGCACATAGACCGCTGAGCCCACGATCACATAGCGACAGTCATCAGTAAACAGGCTGCACTCTCGGTTCAGGTGCTCCCCATTGGAGGCCACATTAGTGACGTGCAGTAGTGAAAAGAAGCGCTCAAAGAGGCGGCCGCGGATGTTGAGGGAGCGCTGGTCGTTGCCATTTGCCAGGGTCTCCCCATCCTGCCCCAGCAGCAGATCCTCAGCCGCCTGGCAGCCCTGGTACTCATAGATCTCCAGGGAGGTCTGGTCAGAGGAGAAGGCTATGAAGCAGCGTCCATCTGGGGAGAACTTGCGGAGGAAGCAGGGAGGCTTCTCTACGTTGACCACAGTGAAGTTGGGGAATAGGTTCTGGTGGAAGCAGCGCACGCGATACCAGTGGGCTCCAGCCCGCCCAGAGCAGATCCGTCGCCGCTCCAGTCGATGGACCACATTCTGGTTCTGGATGCGCCTGGGTTTCAGGGTTGGGGAATCATCTTCCATTGTTTGATTGTTGCCAGCTCTCACTTACTGGTAGCTACATCACAAATCTCTCTGTATAGCAACTGGTAAAAGAGGTAATACAAACAACGATTAAATCAATTTACAATTAATTTTAAAGTGCAAAAGAAGCTTATCTGAAGAGATATATCATACAGGTAATTTCTAACTAAAATGAGTTTAGCCTACATCAGGGGTGTATTCACTAGGACCAAATCATGCGAAACGGACGCAAACAGAAGCAAACAGAGCGAAACAGGGAGGGACCTACATGAATTTGTCCAATACTCTACGTGAAGTAAACGGTTTCTGCTGCAAAACGTTTTGCAATTGTGCAAAACTTTTTTGCAAAAAACTGAGTTGCAAAGAAAAAGCCATATCTCAGACTGGCCAATAAAAATAAAATATTAACATGGGCAGTCTGAGATATGGCTTTTATTTTGCAACTCTGCCTAGAAGGTCAGCATCCCGGAGTCGCCTCTTCACTGTTGACATTGAGACTAGTGTTTTGCGGGTACTATTTAATGAAGCTGCCAGTTGAAGACCTGCGAGGCGTCTGTTTCTCAAACTAGACACTAATGTATTTGTCCTCTTGCTCAGTTGTGCACCGGGGCCTCCCACTCCTCTTTCTATTCTGATTAGAGACAGTTTGCGCTGTTCTGTGAAGGGAGTAGTACACAGCGTTGTACGAGATCTTCAGTTTCTTGGCAATTTCTCGCATAGAATAGCCTTCATTTCTCAGAACAAGAACAGACTGATGAGTTTCAGAAGAAAGTTATTTGTTTCTGGCCATTTTGACCCTGTAATCGAACCCACAATTGCTGATGCTCCAGATACTCAACTAGTCTCAAGAAGGCCAGTTTTATTGCTTCTTTAATCAGCACAACAGTTTTCAGCTGTGCTAACATAATTGCAAAAGGGTTTTCTAATTAGCCTTTTAAAATGATAAACTTGGATTAGCAAACACAACATGCCATTGGAACACAGGACTGATGGTTGCTGCTAATGGGCCTCTGTACGCCAATGTAGATATTCCATTAAACATCAGCCGTTTCCAGCTACAATAGCCATTTACAACATGAACAATGTCTACACTGTATTTCTGATCAATTTGATGTTATTTTAATGGACAGAAAAACTCATTTTCTTTTGAAAACAATGACATTTCTAAGTGACCGAAAACTTTTGAACGGTAGTATATATATATATATATATATATATATATATATAAATAAAACATATGGGGGATTGGAAGTGACAATACATTGATGGAAGTTACAATCTATCTGCAATATTAATGCTGATCTACAACCCCCCCCCCAAAAAAAGAAGAAATGTATTTATTTATTTACTTATTTTCCGAAGTTTATCCAAAATAAAACAAAGGTTTCGGCCAACGAGCCATGGCGGAGTTAGTGTCTACAAAAAGATGCCATTACAATTGTTCTCTATGGGCTATGCGCAACTAGCTGGGTGTGAGTCGATGGAGTACAGCTACGACCGGAAGTGACTTTTCGTAGCAGGTTAAGAGAGCAATTTAGCTAACTCTATCCCTTTTCTTTACATCAGTCTCCTAACATTTACCTAACCTGCTGCGTAAATTATTCTAACCTGTTACGAAAAAGTCACATCCGGTCGTAGCTGTAGTCCACCTAGTCAGAACCATTAGCCTGGGGACGAGGTTAGGTGCGATGGATTAGTAGGTCATTATTTATTTTGACAGATTTACCATAGGGGAAAAAAGTGTGGCTCCCATTTCTCCACCCATACAAACTAAAGCTATCAAGCTAGCCCTGAAAAGTAGCAACTAGCTAGCGTTCCATCTTTTAAGTCACGAGCTTCCCGAAACGCAGAATATTATTTCATTTTGGGCCAGGCATAGACAGTAAGATGCAGCAGAAAGCACCATCAACAGAAATACTCACTTGTCGCTTGCAGCATGCTGTGATTCTGTCAAACCGGTATGCTAGCTAGCTCGCTACTAGTCCTAGCACAGACAGAAGGGGTTAGTTATAAATATATTTGGTACTAGTGCACTGACTGTGCAGTCACAAAAATGAACAAATGCGGGAATAACGTTTAACTTACAGTCTTGAGGACAGGCAATAAAAACGAATGTATGGCAAGCTTGGAACATGTGTTCTGCACATACGAAATAAGTGAGCGGTGATTTCTCAACACTGTTCAATGTTGTTAGTATTAGCTAGCTAAGAGAGGCATCCTCCTCCGTGGAACCGTTCCTCATTCCTCACAGCGCCACGGTAAACTAAGGTTGAAAAGAGTATCGCATCACGTATACACCACACTTGACCAAAGACAGACAGACTGGTAGCAAGCCTACACTGCAATGACACAGCAATTGCATTGGGCATAAAACCCTCTAATTTATTGGGGCCCAAACAGTGTTTTTCCTGCTTGAAATTAATTAGAATATAATTATTTTAAATACGTGGTCAGGATGAAACCCTCTGAGACAAACATGAAGCGATTCAATGAGACAACCTCCACTCGCATATTGCTGACAAATTCGGTTCAGGAGTTTTCCTGGCCATGTGACCTGATCCCTGACCTGATCAGAGTTTTTCTTGGTCATAGTACACTACTGGCCCTGCTAATATGTCTAATCAACTGAAACCATCACAAAGTAGTGTATGGAGAGAAATGGGTCTTAATTATTAAATGTTCTATACAATCCCAAAATGGATCTTGTTCTTAAGACTCAAAAATTGCACAGAAAAAGCAGAAGGAAGACCAATAGAAGAAAGCCTTCATGCTTGGCCTTGAGATCATGATAATGGCTCTATGTGCAATTATCCCTGACCTACGTGTCTCACAGATTACAAGTCATAATTTCCAGTAATAGCATGCAGGTAACACGGAAAGGTAGTGCTAAAAACGGAGGTAAGAACATGAAATTGTCCACTTTTCAATGTACTGTAGATTTTACCATGTAATGCAATGTAAGCCTTCTGTGGTATTTTTTTAAATAGCCAATAATAATAGCTGGTGCTCTATTACTCAGAGGGGATGTGTGTAGCACATAAATAACTTATTCAGGAAGAGTATCCTCTCCCACACTTTTTCCTTTGAGTTTTTGTATATCAGCTCATTAATTTCTAATACTGTATATCTCATAACCTTTTCACCTCAGCTTTTAGCAGCTGTTTGCAAAGTATGATTTGGATTGGAGAAAAGGCTACAGCAGAAGGGGCATTCAAACACTTTTGGGCTATTCTTTCTGGAGGAATAGAGGGATAGAGCCTAGATCCATTGGCTTCCTCCATTTGCTCCACAAACACATGGAGGCTGTAATTATGTGAGCAGACTAGGATAAGGACGAGAGACCTCAAAGGACCATTTCAAAGACGTATATTTAACAGCTAATGGAAAATAAACACACAGTGCCTTCAGAAAGTATCCATACCCCTTGACGTATTCCACATTTTGTGTTACAGCCTGAATTATGGATGAAATCGATTTTTTTGTTTCACCCATCTACACACAATACCCCATAATAATGAAGTGAAAACATGTTTTTAGACATTTTTGCACATTTATTGAAATTGAATTACAGAAATGTCTCATTTACACAAGTATTCACACCCCTGAGTCAATGCACGTTAGAATCACCTTTGGCAGCGATTACAGCTGTGAGTCTTTCTGGGTAAGTCTCTAAGAGCTTTGCACACCTGGACAGTGGTGGAAAAACGACCCAATTGTAATACTTGAGTAAAAGTAAAGATACATTACTAGAAAATGACTCAAGTAAAAGTGAAAGTCACCCAGTAAAATACTACTTGAGTAAAAGTCTAAAAATATTTGGTTTTAAATATATTTAAGTGTGATTATGTACAGTGGGGGAAAAAAGTATTTAGTCAGCCACCAATTGTGCAAGTTCTCCCACTTAAAAAGATGAGAGAGGCCTGTAATTTTCATCATAGGTACACGTCAACTATGACAGACGGGGTGAGATCTTGCGTGGAGCCCCAGATCGAGGGAGATTATCAGTGGTCTTGTATGTCTTCCATTTCCTAATAATTGCTCCCACAGTTGATTTCTTCAAACCAAGAACCTATTACCTATTGCATATTCAGTCTTCCCAGCCTGGTGCAGGTCTACAATTTTGTTTCTGGTGTCCTTTGACAGCTCTTTGGTCTTGGCCATAGTGGAGTTTGGAGTGTGACTGTTTGAGGTTGTGGACAGGTGTATTTTATACTGATAACAAGTTCAAACAGGTGCCATTAATACAGGTAACGAGTGGAGGACAGAGGAGCCTCTTAAAGAAGAAGTTACAGGTCTGTGAGAGCCAGAAATCTTGCTTGTTTGTAGGTGACCAAATACTTATTTTCCACCATAATTTGCAAATAAATTCATTAAAAATCCTACAATGTGATTTTCTGGATTTTTTTTCTCATTTTGTCTGTCATAGTTGACGTGTATCTATGATGAAAATTACAGGCCTCTCTCATCTTTTTAAGTGGGAAAACTTGCACAATTGGTGGCTGACTAAATACTTTTGTTCCCCCCACTGTATATGGTGTGATTACTACCTCTGAGGGTTTAGAGCTTGAGGTAGTCACCTCATACAAATACTTGGGAATACAGTGCCTTGCAAAAGTATTCATCCCCTTGGCGTTTTTCCTATTTTGTTGCATTACAACCCGTAATTTAAATTGATTTTTATTTGGATTTCATGTAATGGACATACACAAAATAGTCCAAATTGGTGAAGTGAAAAAAAAAAAAAAATTGTTGCAAAAAACTCAAAAGCATAAATTACGGAAAAGTGGTGCGTGCATATGTATTCACCCCCTTTACTATGAAGCCCCTAAATAAGATCTGGTGCAACCAATTACCTTCAGAAGTCACATAATTAGTTAAATAAAGTCCACCTGTGTGCAATCTAAGTGTCACATGATCTCAGTATATATTCACCTGTCCTGAAAGGCCCCAGAGTCTGCAACACCACTAAGCAAGATGAAGATCAAGGAGCTCTCCAAACA